GGCTTCCAAGATACTGAGTCAAGCCCGGTTGAGGAGGGTTCGCACCTGAATGGGTGACCTAAATATTTTACCTACTTAAGTTTTGGACCACTTTTTGTGATTCGAAAATAACTTTTCTATTTTGCTCGTTACAGTGTAGCCTATATCTGTCTTCCCTATTGATTTACCCAGTTTTTAAGCGCTACATTAGCACCTTGTCTCCTATTTGTTCCTGTCAAGGGGAATTTTAGAATCGCAGTTTACTCCATGGCTTCATTAACTACAACTACCAGAATCCCTTGCAAACCTTTTTGTTTGTTCAATTAATCAACACACACTGTCTTACTATTCTCATAAAACATTACAAATTTGAATAAAAAAGAAAGTTCGTGAAGAATTTTGGCAGAGGTAGTAAAATGACGCCAGCATGTAAACGGTCTATAGACCCCTTGCAGCACTTCCGAATGCAGCTCAATTTGGAGGGCAGAAATTCTTTTATTATATACCAAGTGTCAAAGTTCAATTTTCCTCAATTTCTATTGGTCGAGAGTGTGTCACGTTTCCTGGCGACCATTCTGGTATATGTTATAGACCGGGAATAACAAAACCGGAAGTCACGTGTTTGAAAAAATATAAAAACCGTTAACCAGAAAGCGACCCATTTGAGCGCGCGTTTGCAAAATTCATTCACACGTTTTCTTTCACGAAACAGATTTTTAAAAAAAACAGGAGAAAACGGTCTATTGATTTCCTTTGACGTCACATGCAAGGGATCTATTGAAAAAAAATTTCTTGAGCCGCTGTGTTCCTTGATTACAGACATTTGCATAGGGTTAGCCTCGTATCAGTGTTTAAATATTCACAAATACCAACGGTAAAGTAAAGAATGCACAAATTCAACAATACAAACATTTTGAAACTCGACGGACCTTGACTGGAACACGTGAATATTCTGCACAAACTCGAGGCTAACCCTTTGCAAATGAGTCTGTAATCAAGAAACACAGCGGTAATTTGGAATTCGAAACGGGTCTATTCGATTGTATCGTAATACTGTGGCATGGACTATTATTTACCACGGCTTATCAGCCAATCAGAAATTAATATCCTTAATTCTACATAGGTGTATTCATCATGGTAGCTGCAGGCATCGGAGCGGGGATCATCATCATCATTCTTGAAATCCTTTACCACAAACACCGTGGATGGAAAGAAGAACAAAAAGAACTGGCCAAAAAGACCACAGATAAGTGGCGCGCAAACATCCTCATGATGAAAAAGGACCGCACAACGACACAAACTAATGGGGTAACACTAGAACCACGTAACGGGCAAGATGGGACCGGGATCGCGCGGCGTAATCCAATCTATTCTCCTGATAACATCACAGAAAGCGCTTTTACTTACAGTTGAAAAACGCACTGAAACCTGAAGAAATGCGGCGATTCCGTTCGTGACGGCTGAACGTAGCGTGATCTCGCGCGCAAATTTGTTTCGTGATGTTATTATACTCTTGTGCGGCATAGCGCAAATCAAGTTGTTTCTAGCAACGTGATCAGTCGAAGTTCGCCAGGGCTATAGTGTATAGAGTAGTTTTCTTATGACGGTGAAAAGCTCATGGCAAAAACACAGTCGTGACACGGCAAGGCACACGCAAGGCCAATCACAGTGCACGAGAATTTACCTTTCATCCAATCGAATGCCCGAAACACGGCATGAACACGACGCTGACACGGTCACGCCAAGGTCACGGCACTGCCAGACCAATCACATTGCACGAGAATTTACTCTCCATCCAATCAAATACCCGAAACACGGCATGAACACAGCGTGGACACGGTCACGACAAGGTAAACGGCACTTCCAGACCAATCACATTGCGCGAGAAAAAAATCAGCCAATCAAAATTCTAGAAGGTATCACGGCCATGTCAAGGCACGCATATACGGCACCGACTTTTTCACAGTCATACGAAAACTGCTTYATCTATATCACGATGGTATATTGATTGATCTCACCGCTAAACATTTGATTGTCATTGTAAATATGACGGTTGAGATTACGCATAAAGTGAAAATATCATAGGTGTACAATGTTTTAGTTAAGCATTTTCAGTCTTAGCATCATTTTTAAAATAATTTTTTATATAATTAATAGCGAAACTGTTTGTTTTAATGAGATAACATATCGATCGCTACCACTGGGCTTCCTGCGGATTTAGCAATTTAATGTGTTCTGGCAACTTATTGACTTTCTGAAAAATACAACATAGTACATGCATCTGAATGGCTTTTGAGCACTGCAATGGCTTTTTGAGCACCAAAACGGCTCTTGAGTACTGAAATGGGTTTTGAACACCGAAATGGCTTTTTCACTTATCGATAAATATTAGTTAAGTTATTTGCCACGAGCAATTCTAAGTAACGCTTAATTGGCTTTTTCATGTATTAATGCGGAAGCCATTTCAAAACTGAATAATGTCGATAAATATCTATTTAAGTTATTTGCCTTGGGCAATTCTAAGTAACACTTAAATGGCTTTATTTAATCAAGTCAATATTCCATAGAAATATACGACAAACTAAAAGATATAATTTATAGCAGTCAAATATGAAAAATGATATATTTAATGTAATATATTTAAAATTACTTAAGGAAGGTATCTATAAAAAGTTCATTTAAAATTCCTGAATTAATGAAAAGAAGATATTTATGAAGGCCATGTTAGTTTACATGCAAAGCTGTAATGTAATGTATTAGTTTCATGGTCAAAACAGTAGTCCAAAAGAGGGAACTGATGCGATTGATTCTGGTGTTGGTTAACGGTAAATACCCCCTCTCCCCTCAGAGACCTACTGAAATGTTGAATTGGTGTTTGCAAGCATTTCCTAGAGAGTCAAAAGACAAAAACTTGACGGCCATATTGGTGCCGTTAACAATGGATGCTAATGAGAAATCTTTTGTTAAATGACACCAACTCTCCCCCGAGAGGCCGCGATGACATAAAAATACATATGTAAAGCATATTTACTTTAGCATTCACCATTTTCCATACATYGRTTCACTGGTCAAACACAAAGCATTCAGTCGAGGTTGCAAGGTTCAAATTTGAATAATYCTTTGAAAGTACCTTGGCGCCTCGCTTGAGTGCTTTGTGTTTGACCAGTGAACCGATGTATGGAAAATGTTGAATACATGCAAACAGAAAGAGTGAAGTCATTTAACCCGTAACATAGGTATTAGACTAATACACTTTAGTAGACCCTAATTCCATTGTTTTCTTTTGTGTCTTTTTGACTATTACACGTTAACTAGTATTTTTTATTTCACGGGTTAAATGCCTTTCACTTTTAGTTTCGGAGATGATATAGGACAAAATCCAGGATTTSACTTCCAGAGGGGGTGGGGACCGGGTTACCCCACCCCTCCCCCGTAAATCGAGTTCCTTAAGATGACAACTGTTTTGACTTTTCTTTTTTTTATCAGTGGTTTTACCTAACCCTTGAAACAGTTAGTAAACTAAGGCCTAGGGCAAACGTCGAACTTTCCATGCACCGAACTCATTAAAAACAATGGATATCAGGTGATAATGAGGCGGCATTCTTTGATGTAATTAAGTTCGGTGCATGGAAAGTTCGACGTTTGCTCTGGGCCTAATACTCCAGTTTCAAGTTCTGGGCCGGGTTGTTCGAAGCTGGGTTAGCGCTAATCCAGGATTAACTTTATAGGTCTTATTAAGAGTTAACCCAGGATTAGCACTAATCGGGCTTTGAACAACTGGGCCCTGTTGCTCAGGGTTAGCCTCGGTTTTGTGCAGAATTTTCATCTGTTCCAGTAAAAATCCATGGAATTTCAAAGTGCAACCGTTAAACAAAGAAATGATAGTCTAGGGAATGACACGTGTTATGAAATGGGAAAACAGTGGATTAGGTCTACTAGAGGCTAAGCCTGAGTAAATGAGTCTGTAATCAATTAGGAACACAGCGGTAATCTGCAACTCGAAAAACGTCTATTAGCAATTAGTCCTCATCCCGAATGGGCTATTGACTCATTTATAGACCACGAGAGTCAATCAAATCCAACTTGTCGGTCAAATATATAGATACAAACAAGTTTTAAATTAAAGTAGATTTAATGTTTTGGTTTTCAAAGCCGGCTTTTTTCACTACTTGTAGGATATAACTTATAGCCTAGTAGTAGCTCATCCAATCAGAACGCAGTATTGATGATAGACCGCTAGTTGGATTTGACTAGAATAATGTAGGTTAGATTAAAGACGTGGAACTGGTCTTTTTGTATTAATCACACGTAAACTCCCATAATTAACTAGATGATAGCCTGCAAAGCAGGCGTTCTTGTGGGTTTGGAGAAAAACCGGGGTTTTGGAGGAACTTTGGAACGAGCGAGAATTGAAACCGAGCTAGGTCCCATTTTTCTCGCGGTCCCTTGGTCGAAACAGGAACCCCAAAGCCCCGATTCTTACTCTCAAATCCATCAAAAGAACGCCTGCTCTGCAGGCTAACTAGATGATAAAAGGTCGTTACAAGAGTCAACAAAATAGCCTGCGCTGCTTAGCGGTGTGCGGTTGTTGCGAGAAAAGGCAAGATTTGTTTGTTTCTCCAAGAAAAAACCGCACACCACTAAGGAACGCAGGGTAGTAAAAAAAGTGTACAAAGAAGACTACATAACAGGTGCGAATACACGTTAAATAAAATCAGGATTTGTATTTCTGCTGGCTTC